CTGAGGTTGTGGTTGGAGCAGTTTTAATTGTGGTTGGAGGAGATGTAGCTTTTGGAGCAGCTGTGGTTGTTGTTGGAGCAGCTGTAGTTGTTAAAGCAGCTGTGGTTGTAGTTGGAGCAGCTGTAGTTGTAGTTATAGTAGCTGTTGTTGTGGGTAGAGCAGCTGTGGTTGTTGTTGGAGCAGATGTGGTTGTAGTTGGATTAGCTTTAGTTGTAGTTGGAGCAGCTGTAGTCGTTGTTATTGCAACTGTGGTTGTGGTTGGAATAGCTGTAGTTGTGGTTGCAGCAGCTGTGGTTGTGGTTGGAACTGCTGTAGTTGTTGTTGGAGCAGCTGTATTTGTGGATGGAACAGCATTGGTTGTTGTTGAAACTGCTGTAGTTGTGGTTATAGGAGCTGTGGCCGTGGTTGGAGCATTTGAAGATGTGGTTGAAACAGCTGTGGTTGTGGTTGGAGCAGCTGTAGTTGTGATTGGAGCAGCTGTGGTTGTTGTTGGAGCGGCAGTAATTGTGGTTGGATGAGATGTAAATTTTGGAGCAGATGTGGTTGTTGTTGGAGCAGCTGTAGTTGTGGTTCTAGCAGCTGTGGTTGTAGTTGGAGCAGCTGTAGTTGTGGTTGGAGCAGCTGTGGTTGTTGTTGAAACTGCTGCAGTTGTGGGTATAGCAGCTGTAGTCATGGTAGTAGCTGCTTCAGCTGTGGTTGTTGTTGGAGCAGCTGTAATTGTGGTTGGAGGAGATGTAGTTGTGGTTGGAGCAGATTCAGTTGTGGTTGGACAAGCAGTGGTTGTTGTTGGAGCAACTCTAGTTGTGGTTATAGCAGCTGTGGTCGTGGTTGGAGATGGTGAAGGTGTGGTTGGAGTAGCTGTAGTTGTGGTTGGAGCAGCTGTGGATGTTGTTGGAGCAGCTGTAGTTGTGGTTGGAGGAGATGTTGTTGTGGTTGAAACAGCTGTAGTTGTGGTTGGAGCAGCTCCAGTTGTGGTTAAAGCAGCGGTGTTTGTTGTTGGAGCAGCTGTTGTTGTCTTTGGAGCAGCTGTAGTTGTGGTTATAGCAGCTGTGGTTGTGGTTGGAACAGCTGTAGTTGTTGTTACAACAGCTGTAGTTGTGGTTATTGCAGCATTGATTGTAGTTGGTACAGCTGTAGTTGTCTTTGGAGCAGCTGTAGTTGTGGTTATAGCAGCTGTTGTTGTGGTTGGAACAGCTGTAGTTGTGGTTGGAACAGCTGTAGTTGTG